CTCCCGGTGTTCGTACCCATTGGCCCCAAAGATTCCCCCCACTCCTGCCTCGCCTGTTCCTTCTCTTACAAATACCCACCAAATCCACCACTCAAACCACCCGCAAATTCACCTTGAGTCCACTCCAAATCCAAATCTCACCTTGAATTCTTCTCCTTCTCCTCCTCCTTCTCCTTCTCTTTCTCCTTCGGTGAGAGATGGCCCGCACAAAGCAGACGGCAAAGAAGTCCACTGCCGGCAATGTGCCGAGGAAGCTGCTGGTGATGAAGGTGGCACGCAAGTCAGCACCGATGATGGCAGGGCTAAAGAAGCCGCACCGCTTCAATCCATGGATCGTCGCACTACGAGAGATCCGCACATACCAGAAGAGCACAGAGCTGCTAATCCGCAAGCTCCCCTTCCAACGGCTGGTGCAGGAGATCACGCAGGACATTAGGTCCTATGTCCGCTTCCAGAGCTCTGCCATGGCAGTGCTGCAGGAGGCTGCCGAGACCTACCTTGTGGGGCTCTTCGAGGACACCAACCTCTGTGTCATCCATGCCAAACGCGTCACCATCATGCCCAAGGACATCCAGCTCGCACGCTGCATCGGGGGCGAGAAGGCCTAGGTTTGGGGGCATCGTCTTGTACGAGCACGCTTCTTCTGTCTGTGTTCTCGGCTACTGGCACATTTTCATATTCGAGTCGGTAGGTTAGGAGATGTTTTGGTCAGGTTTGACGGGTGAACTGGCTTTTTATGTTATCTTGTGATGCTGTAATCGTTATGGTTTGCTAATCTTAATGGAAAGGCTATGTCATTTGGGATTTCTGAATGAATTGTTGAGAGTGGATGTTCTGTTAATCTTTTGAAATTTGTTGAGATATGTTGGATCCGGCAGCCTAATATTTTGCTCTCAATTAACAATACAGTTTTAGCAGGGTTTGAATTTTCGGCATACATGGACCGCTGTAGTGTCTATGCAGAAACTTGTTTCTGGAATTCCTTTTATTTGCATTGCATCAATAATAATGGAAGATTTGGGCAAGTCAGTAAGAGAAACTAATAATTCCTTTCTACAAAAATAGACATATCTTAGCATTTGTGCAATAAAAAAATGTAGGTGAGATGGGCTTGTGCTTTTGCTATCCCAATGATAACGGCATAAAGTTTTTCTAAACCGACAACTCTAAGAATGGCATGAATCTAATTTTTCCAAATCCATGACTGGCTGTAACGCCCCGATTTTCGTTCGGGATTAAAAATTATTAAATAATGCATTTTCCAGAAAATAAATAAAAATTAGAGCAATTTAATCAAGTGAAATAATGAGGGAATTTTAATATTCTCTGTGCCCTAAAATATTCTCTGAAATTTCCCGTGAATTTTTGAGCTCAAAAAGTACTTTTAAATAGCACAAAGTTCATTCCATCAATTAAATAAATAGAAAACCTCCCTCCTCCTTTTGGGCTCAGCCCAGTTCCTCCCTCCTCCTTCCCAGCCAGGCCAACCTCCCCTTCCCCTCCCTCGACTCAGCTCGTTTTTCCCTTCGCCAAGTCCATGCCACCTCCCTCCTCTCCGTCATCCCCTTCCTCCAACCACCCAACCGCCATGGCCACCGGCCCCTCCAAATGTCGCCGTGTCACGCACGCCACCCTACCCACCTCCTCCACTCCACGCGCCCTTACCCGGCCGTGGGACCCCATCGCCCACGTCCCTGCACTCCTCCCCAACTCCTTCCCGCAAAATCGGCGCCGAATAACCACCACCCACCCCCCCAACGATGATGCCGCCCATGTCGCCACCGGTTGCCGCCCCTCTCGGCCCCGATCCTGCGGCTCCGAGCCCATTTAAAACGATCCCCACAGCTCCCTCTCCCTTTTTCCCATTTCCCCGAGCTCCCCGCGCCCTCTCCCGCTCTCTCCACGCCGCTCCCCATCATCGCCGCTCTCCGGCGACCATCTGCCGCCCACCACCGCCGCTCCCGCCATCCCCGTGCCGCGCCATTTGCACCACCAGCATCGCCACACCTCGCCGCACGCCGGTCTTTCCTCCATTTCCCCAATCCACCACCAGATCACCACCTCCACCGCGAACCCGATGTCGCCGCCGCATTCTCCGCCTCTGGTCGCCGTTTGCCGCTGCTCTCAGCCATCCCAAGCTGCGCCGTGGCCACCCGTAGCACCGCTCCTCTGCATTCCCCTCCTCTTCGCCGGAATCCCGCCGGAGTCCCGTCTCCCTCGCTCGACGGTGAGCTCCGTCGCCCCCATCGCCTCCGGCCATCTTTCCTCACCATTCCCGACACCCTCGCACCCTCCTAACCCCTTCTCCTCCTTCAACAGATCTTGAGCGCCATCGGTCGCCCCTCCTCTTTCGCCGATCATCGCTGGGATGTGGTCCGCCGCTTCCTGTGCCGCCGTCGGCCGCTTCCCTGTTGCCGTCTCACCGTTGCCGCTCTCGGTGAGCACTCCCCTCCCTCTCCATCTTTCTCCCCTTTGCCGGCCGCCTCCCAGGCCTTCTCGCGACGTGCCGCCGCCGGCGGTGGCCGTCTAGCCGGGTCGTCGTCGCTGTGCTCCGCGTCCGTGCCGCCGCCGGCTATGCTGGGCAGCCGGCTACCACCTCCCATGCCGCGTGGCCGATCTGGGCCGTCAGATCGACCCCGGCCTCCATCCGGGCCGCCCGTGTGTCCGCACACGTGGCCGCGACGTCGACACCCCGCCAGCACCACGTGTGCGCCACGTGGTGCACTAGCCCGTGCCTCCTTGTTGGCATTCAGCCTAAGTGCTCCACGTTGGACCTTCGATGCCATATTTGAGCATGGCGTACCAATTTGAGGACTGCGTGTCCAAACTGGGTCACAAGTTCTTCGCCTGGATCGACGGCGTCTGATGTGGGAGGGAGAACGGCCGCACTGTGGAGGTTGTGGCCTCTCTGTGTCGTTCCTCCACCCATGAGTTTGCCCCTAATCATAAAATCGCCCTCGCCCTCGCACTCACATGCTCGCTGGGAGGGTATTTTGCCCTCCCGTGCTGGCTGCCTACATTCTTTCTCTCCTGTTGGCACTGCCAACAAGAGCATGGACTGTTAGCTAACTCTGGATGCCTTCTGCAATATATTTATGTATATACAGAGGTAGGAGATAAATGTGCCTTCTGCAATATCCGTGGTTGTTTCACTATTCTTTAGAACTTATTTTGGTCGTATATTATTTTGTCAGAGTTGGAGAAATTTCATTATTTACCATCCAATACGCTGACTTTTAAGAAATTACCATTCAATTCGTAAGTCTTTAAGTTTTTGCCACCGGAACCATGAATTTCTTCATTTCATACCACTCCGCCCTCCCATTCGAATCGTCCGTCTACACGAAGCCGTCTCGGAGCTAGGTCACCGCCGTCGCCGCAACCAAGCTCGTCGGCGACTGTCCCCAAGCTTCGCCACCACCATCGTCGCCGTTCCCGCTCGCCTCCGCTTTTCCTTCTCCCGCCGCAGCCGTCGCCGTCACTACCGCGTCGACTGCATTTCATGTCCAGGATCCTTCCCCGCATCACCCCTCTCCCACTCCGCCGCCTCCGCCGCAGCCACAGCCTGAATCTGCTGGTCTCCCAGCCGTCGTCACCTCGCTCGCCGGCATCCTCACCACCCGCTCCACGAACCGCACCTAGGCACGGGCAGTCACGGCGCTGCTCCCCTCCCCGCTCTCCGACGCCCACCTCGCTGCCACAGTTCTGAGCTTGTCAGCGACCGTCCCCAAGCTTCGCCGCCACCATCGTCGCTGTTCCCGACCTCGTCCGCCGCTGAGGTGCGGCCATGCTCGAGCTTGCATATGGTTGCCGCCGCCATCCTCTCAGCCACAGCCGTAGCCGCAGCGTGAAGCCATCCCCGACCACGCCACTATCGGTGGGGGGGGGGTGACAAACGAAGATGAAAGACGTGCGCCATGGTGGCGAGGGAGTGCCCGGTGATGGTGGCGGCAGCGCCCTACGTCAGTGTAAACGGAAGGAGACGGATGAGCTGTAAATTTGACGGGAGCGAAATGAAGAAATTCGTGGTTCCGGTGGCAAAATCTTAAAGGCTTACCAATTGAGTAGTAAATTCTTAAAGGTCAGCGTGTTGGATGGTAAATAATGAAATATCTTAGAGGCGTCAAGGAAGTCAATTCGGTGCCCCCTACTCTGTACCGAATTGTGTAGTTGTAATAGTTGTTCTGCACTGTTGTGTTTGGGTAACACTGGTGCGAGTTCTGGTGAGTGGCAGTGTGCATGCAGTTTTGGTTAGGTGCACTTTTTAATGCATGCTGCAACAGCCAACATGTAGCAACAAATTTTGTGATGGATGACAAAATGCATAAGTTTGATCGACGTAATAGTTCGGTTATTTTAGGCCTCGTTTTCATCAAAAATTTTTGGCCAAAAACATCACATCAAATATTTGGGCACATGCATAGGATATTAAATGTGTGGAAAAACCGATTGCACAGTTTGTAAGTAAATTGCGAGACGAATTTTTTGAGCCTAATTACGTTATGATTTGACAATGTGATGCTCCAGTAAATATTTGCTAATAACGGATTAATTAGGCTTAATAAATTCATCTCGTAGTTTACAGGCGAAATCTGTAATTTGTTTTGTTATTAGTCTATGTTTAATACTTTCAAATGTACATCCGTATACTTAAAAACTTTACGCCCAAAGACTAAACATACCCTTAGATACAAGAGAGGCAGAAGCATGTTTTGCTGATGAGACCGAACCAACATGTAGCAGAACATGGTAGTTCTAAAAATCTGACAGTTGTTACAGCACATGGTTATATATTAGAACATCACAAGAACAATATTCTTGAAATCGCCGAGGAAACATACGTTCAAACTCATATATATACTTGTGCCGTGATATTACAAGTTCAGCACACAAAGAATTATGTTCTAACCTACAAGTTACAACTGCTCAGAACTACTTGTGCGATGATTAGGCACATGAACAATTTCGTGTCCTTCAACTTATAAGAAGAGCTTGTAGCCTTAGTCCTTCAGCGGAATTTGGAAAATTTCCTCGTCAATCTCATCATCATCAATCTTGTCATCACCATCTGCTTCTTCCAGCTGAGCTTCCAGCGATCTCGTAAACTCGTCCATGTCGTCATCGGGCGCAACGTTTTGTGCCATGGGAGGAGCAACAGTCGCTGCAGCAATTTCATCACCATCGGCTTCTTCTAGCTGAGCTTCCAGCGATCTCGTAAACTCGTCCATGTCATCAACGCCATGTGGTGCGTATGGCGACGGCGGTTGCTCGAATGGATCCATCGCATAGCTCTGGATGGGTGGATCGATCGCATAGCTCTGGATGGGTGGATCAGGCGACGGTGGTGGCTCGAACGGATCATGCCTGGGTGCATGAGGCGACGGTGGTGTCTCGAACGGATCCATCGGATAAGGCGGCAGTGGCGCCATGACGCGCCTTGACGGTGGTGCCGGTCGCGGAGGCGGAGGCACACACCATGGCGGCGGCGCGGATGCCGCCACGCAGCTCTGGCGCGCCGCCGGGCTTGCCGAGACAGGTCCTCTGATCTTCTTGGCGCACGGCGGCGAGGGGACCGGCGGGGCGGGCCTCTTCAGGGGAGGCGCCTGCTGCTGCGTGATCACGGGCACTTGCCGTGGCGGCGCAACAGCCGCCGGTGCAGTACGCAGTGACGGAGGTGCCGGTTGCGGAGCCACACGTCGCGGTGGTGGCGCGGACGCCGTCACGCAACTCTGGCGCGTCGCCTTGCTTGCCGGGACAGAACCTCCCATCTTCATGGTCGCTTGCTGCTGCGTGATCACGGCCTCGAGACGTGGTGGCGCAGGCGCGAGTTCTTGACGAGGCAGAGCGGCTGGTTCTTGAATCGGAGCCGGTGCGGGAGCATGAGCCAGCGGCGGCGCAGGTTCTTGGGGCGTGAGAGCGGCGGATTCTTGGTGCGCCGCCGAATCTTTGGCCGCCCTGGGAGAGACGTACACCCGGCAGAGGACGGGCTCGAGATCGCTGGCTTGTCGGAGGCAGAGGTGGTACTCCTCCATCAACCAATCCGTGTTCGTGCCATCTTTCTTGAAGCGGAAATTCTTGGCTTCCCCGACCTTGATCCCCTCCCTGTTCTTGATATCCTTGCTGGTCTGAGAGACCCAGCTGCCACCGCCTGCGACGCGAGAGACCTTCCCCTTGATCCGCTTGCACTCGGTTAAGAAGAACCGGTCGCCATTGGAGCTCCTCGCCACGGGCGCGAACTGGGCTGCGAGCTCCCTGGGCTCGGCGCCGTAGACATTGGCTCGGTGGATGCAGGACTCGGTGTCCTTGGGCGGGTGGCCGGCAATGAGGCGTGGGAGGTAGTAGGTGACGACCTCCTCCGGTGAGGGGTTGAAGCGGAATCCTAGCTCGAGGAGAAGGTGGAGGTTGGTCGCCATGGGGATGGATGGATCGGAAGGGATGGCGGTGCGAGCGAGCGAAAGAGAAGCGAGCCAGGGAGGGGTTTGCTCTGCTTTTAAAGTCCGACGTGGGATCGGAATCCGATACGGACTCGTCGCTCTTCAGCTCCAAAAACTGAGGTGGTACTATACTATACTAGTTGAGGTTCACCGTGGAAAGAACAGCGGAATCCTACACTGTGATTGCACGCCGGAGCTCGCCGTCATCGCCACCATTCTCTGCCTCTGCTCTACCGCTCCCCTGTTTTGCCACAAGCCAACTCTACCAAGCATCGCGGCCGTGAACGCCAGTGCCCCCGAGGTCCTGCTCACCGCCGTCGCCTCCTCACTCTGCAACTGTGCAAAGCACAAAAATGGAAATGGACCAGTTGAGCAACTTATCCACACCTGTTTCTGGCATCACGTTGAACACTCCATTTGTTAATAATATGAAGTTTCGAAGGAAGAGGATTTTGATACTTCGAGGGGACATCCCTTATTGTTTGCATGTCACTCAAATGGTTATGAAAAAATCTGAAAAAAATTGATAAGATGTATTAACATGTGATATATCACTTCACAAACATGCAAGTAAAAATTCAACTTCTACATCCGGCAATAAAAAAAACAAATTTGACTCCGAATATACCTTAACTAGCTACGGTTTAATTTTTTTGTCGTTATGAAATGTAGAAGTTGAATTTGAACTTGTATATTTGTGGAGTATTAAATGACATGTTGATACACCTTCTTAATTGTTTTCAATTTTTTTCATAACCATTTAAGTGATATGTAAAGAACGAGAGGATATCCCCTTAAGGGATTAAAATAGTTTCCCAGTTTCCAATGATCATGTCTTGACAAAAAATTTTTTAGATTAATTACACTTACGTAGCATGAATTGTGTTGGTCTGTTGGTGTCTTTGTTATGTTGGTACATTAGATATAGTAAAAGAGAAATAACATGAAGCACAAATGTACTACAAGTATAAGCAACATTCCTGAGAGGAATTATCAATTCACAATAAGTTACCGTAGTCCGATTGGAATGTAAATGTAAAGCAGAAGATTGTAAAATGCAGGAAAAACAAAAGAATTACCGTTTAATAGGACCACAGAAAAACACAAATGTCGAATGAGAGACTCAAAGGAAATTTTCCAAATGTTAGAGCATTTCCTAAATTTTCTTCAAAATATTTATAGGATTGTTCATCCCATAGTTATTTCAAAAGGGTTTGATAGATTTAATCATTTGTTAACAAGTCTTTATAGGAAATTTTTTAATAAGATTGAAATCCTTGAAAATTTCTATGTTTTCCTACAAATCAAAGGGGCCCTTAATGTTTATACGATGAATTGTAGGATATTTTAACTTAAATGTGTAATCTACGATAATTTTATAAAAATATATGTTTTCCGGTGAAATTTACTCTTTATAATATTGTAATCTCATCAGATTATATAACTATATATTACAATATAATTTACTCCATCGATTTTAGGTTATAAGTCATTTTGACTTTAGTCAAAGTCAAACTGTTTCAAATTTGACGAAGTTTATAGAAAAAAATGTTAACATTCCCAACCCAAGATAAATTTATAATGAAAATATATTCAATGAAACTACTTTGGTATTATAAATATTACTATATTTGTCTATAAACTTAGGCCCTGTTTGTTTCAGCTTAAAGATTATTATAATCTAAATTATTAAATCAGATTACTCTAAATTGGATTATAATAAGCTAGCATAAAATAAGCTGCAAGTTGTTTGTTTCTCTATATTATTGAAGGCATCTAAGGGTAGTGGGTCTTTAGCCACCCAATAATCTAGAAAAAGCTCTTCCAAAGGAGATTTGTAGACTATAATAATCTGGCTTACAAATTATAATAATCTATCATAATAATCTATTTATTTGTTTTAGCTTACTTCAAATAATACAGATTATAATAATCCTAAGCTGAATCAAACAGGGACTTGGTCAAACTTGAAGTAGTTTGACTTTGACGAAAGTCAAAACGATTTATAATATGAAACAAAGAGAGAGTAGTACTTAATGATTGTATTTCACAAACGTTGCCATTCTTCAAAATGACTGGTTTCCAGAGCAAAGGCAGCAATTTATATCAATTGTATCTCGACCGCATCGTTCTACATAAGCTGTCCGACAACCAGCCCAGATCGAATGCGATCACATAATTCAACCGACATAATGTCCAGTACAAGCAGCGAAACAATAACAGATCAGATGGAAAGGCATGGCAAGCACGGGCTCAACTCAGGAACACGAAAGAACATTTATGCAGTGATAAGCAGCAATAAGCAAGCCAACATGGGTATAAATTCAGTTGGCATTTCTATATAGCCAACGGACGCCTCTGCTTAAACTTCACAAAATTAGAGGCATCCAAATTGGCAGAGGCCTACATTTTACCTTTGAGTCATATTAAGATCAACTGAAAGAGTTGTGCTATTACACAAAAGATGTACCTACATCAAAGAAATGTAGGACCACTGTAATCAGATATTTTTCAGCTTTCAAGAGTAATGCTCAAAACAAGTCCAAAGTGGTCACTGGGTAAGACAGGAAGTTCCAGTTTGCGAACTTCCTTGCGGACCTTCTTCTCCTTGACATATGAGAGACCAGGTATCGCATTCTTCCCGATCATCTGGATGTTGTTAATCTTGAAATCTGCCAGCTTGCACACGAATCGGTCCAATCTCTTCTGTAACTTACGGTTGGCTGATAGCATACTGTTAGCTTTTGTGTCATAAGTCCAGCCATCTTCACCCGGCTTCAACTCAATCCAAGCATCGGTCCAGCCAGCTGGTAGGGGGAAGGGCCCATCTCCTTTGTCATCCCAGTTCATATCGCCACAAAATATTACATTGCGGAAGGATCCCAAAATTTTGAGAGATTTGTTTGCCTGAGCAACTCGTTCCGTGCTGTACATCTGATCCCAAGTAGGAGGCCCAGGCATTGGACTCTCAAGGTGGCTAGTGGCCAGCACTAGCTTAACTGCACCTCCAGTTTTGACATGTGCTACACACAGTTCTCTTCCCATTATTGAGTTGGAAAATGGAGTGCAGTCAAAAGACTCAACAGGCAATTTGCTCATCTGCATATGTTTGAAATTGAATCACATTATTAGGAATTAATAAACTCTTACTGAAAAAGTATTCACAGTTCAGAAATAATAGCAAAGCTGAGGTACCAAGACAAGCACAAGGATTCCCACAAAACACTTCAAAGCACAAAAGATAGTATGAGAGGTTGCTACCGTTACCCATTGAGGTAGCAACTCCAAAATTCGAGGTAACACCCTACTAACTTAGGTGCCAACATAACAAATTACATAACATCAAATTACATAAAATGTGCAGTAGAAGTCTTAAAATTTGTGCACAAACATACATAAAAGCATGTAAATATCTATAGAACAGACTATCAAATTTCTACAGCGAATTTCTGATGGGATTTTTAGTTTATTTCTGTTCTAATTATCCACAGTAGAAAAATCAGCTTCATAAACTGGAACTAACAAAAACTGTGATAAACCAAACCATTTTATGTTTTTTTTTTCATAATATGTTTCACAGCTCTTGTATAGTTCGATACTTGCGGAGTTTTACAGATCACATGTCTGAAATAGAAAGTTATACTCCTTTTCAGGCAAGATAGATTTAAGTAGCACATAGGGAACAAGAACAAGTTTGATCATCCTCTGTCCATAATCCAATTCTACTATAATATTTCTCTGCTATAAGCCTTTGTTCCCAATACAAGATTTAACAATGCCATTCTCATGTTTTTTTTTCTTTTTTAATTTCATCATAGAGCACAAACACTTGGCTAGTTTCATGTAAAGTACTTTAATAATCTTGCATTGTTCATCAATTTTACTATCTCCACATAAGCCCATGGTTACATGCATCATGGAGAATGAAAAATTTAAAAAGAAAATATTACATTTGTAATAAATAGAATAAGAACAATTATATTTATATATGTATCCATGGGATTAGTGGAAACAAACCTGCATGCAGTAATATTTCCGCTGCATAGCCATGCTATTCGACAGCGAGCATCGGTATTCTTGCCACCAGTCAGATTTTTGTAGAAGCAGATATATGTTTGGTGTAACCTCCTGCAGCTCCACATATGAGTCGTGCCATTTAGAAGAGATAAGGAAAATTACTTTGTTTTCAAAATCTGCACCTGGAAGCATATAAGGTCAGGGTTGTGGTTCTTAATAAGATCCCCAAGAGCATCCATCCTTCTACACAATTCCAAATCCTCATGAAACCAGACATTGTATGTCATGATTTTGAAGGTCTTCTTATCCAAAATAATCTCAGCACATGCTGTGTTAGTGACAATAACAAATCAGAAGCAAAAAATGTATTAGCAACAACTTGAAAACCATAACCAACTACTAACTGGCATAATTAACTAGTTATGTCACTATTACAAAGATATAATCAAAATATATATTGTAGACTAGTTTACACAAACAAAAAAGTGGGCCACATTGACTACAAGATATCAACTTATTTAAGACCAAAAAAAAAAAACTATTAGCAAAAGCTGACATATATTCATGATTTCAGGGATAAGGGAATAACAGTATCAAATTTTCAGTTCAAGAAAACAGTATAGCATCACAATTACCAGCAGTGTGTCATTGATAAATATCAACACAATTACCAGCAATGTGTTGTCAGTATATAAGCTATGTGGGAACAAATAACTGCAGACAGAGAAAATAAAACTAAATAACTGCACATGCTTGTATATGAAGGAAAAAGGATAAATGTCTATGCAGTATAACCGATAGCCAACATTCTTTGAGTTTATGATATATTGAAGCACTCTCCGTAAAGTTGGTTGAAACAAGACATACAAATTTTAACCAATACTAGTAACAACTAGCATCACGGGTAAATAAAACTAAGGGGTTTGTCGTATAAATGTCGACCATATCAATACTTTAGCACAATTCACACAACCCAAAGTAGAGTAAAAATTATACCATTGTATATCAATTTTCCTAGTGATTTGCAGTGAATCCAAACCCATGGAGAAATTTCGTTATTTGCCACTCTCAAGTCTCAATTCGAACTTCGAAATGATAGCAATACGACATGCAAAACCATTACTACTCCTTTCTAGCAGATACCACTGAAAGGCCCAAGGCAGTGACTTCCTATTGCTAATTATACCACATTCTTTTGTAGTCCATCAGGGAACGGAACAGATACACCTTGGTGCATTGTCTGATCAAATCTAGCTAATAATAACTCTGGTAATGACATGCAGCGCCACAACATTTTCCTACCCGCTACATACTATAGCAAATCACAGTAAGTCAGCAACAACAGAAACAATGGCAATTTGTCTGCTACTCCCTGAACCCGACCCGCACAGAACATGAAAGAACAAAGCCCCTAGAAACGTAATGAATGGAGAAGCGATTCTTTGCACATTCGTGAACAAAGTCCCCAATCGAACGATTCGCAAATATACAAGATCAAAACAAAAAAAAAAAAGAAACCTTTCTTCTTGGCGGGCTTATCCTCCCCGCCCTTGGCGCCGTCTCCCTCGTCGGCGCACACTCCCACGACCTCCGGCGACGCCGCGCGCTCCCTCTTCATGGAGCGCCGCTGGAGCGGGAGGAACGAGGCGCCGGCGAGGGCGCCCAGGTCCAGGGCGTCCTCGTCGTCGTCGTCGACGGCGACTACCTCCATGGGGCGAGAGTTGCCGCACGCCTCGCAGGCGCGGGAGTGGCCGGGGTTGTCGAGCGTGCAGGCGGCGCAGGACCACTTCCGCTCAGTCGGCGGCCGGCCCGCCCCGCAACCCGAAGAAGTCGAGGCCCTCGCCGGAGGGGTCGACATGGTCGGGAGAGTTGGGGTCTGGGCTTTGGCGACGGCGTCGCCGTCGACCTCCACGGGTCGCGAGTTGCCGCAGGCGTCGCAGGCGCGGGAGTGGCCGGGGTTGTCGAGCGTGCAGGTGGCGCAGGACCACTGCTGCTGCGGCGGCGGCCGCCCCGCGCTGCGCCACGAGGAAGGCTGAGCCCTCGCCGGGGAACCCATGGCCGTGGAGAGGAGGAGGAGGGGTTTTGGGCGGAGTAGGGGTTTGGGATCGAGGCGGCGGAGTGGGAGGAGGAGACGAGGGGACGGGGCCAAGGAGAAGAGGAGAGTAGCCATTCGAATTTTGAGTTTGAATTTGAATCGGGGTTTCCCGTTTCCCCGGTGATTTGGGGGAATTTTATGGGTCCAGGACTCCACATGTCTGCAGGACTAGGGATATTATTTTTTCTATATGGGATAATAGGATGCGGCTGGCCGGCTAGGTGATCAGATCGGGGCCTTCCATTGATCTCATCCGACGGGCATGGGTATTTTGCGCCGTTGGCGAAGAAGCCGGCTGAAATTCCCTGGGCTGTGATGTAAAAGTTAGAAAGAGGAATGGGAGTTGAAGGAAGGAAATTATCCATGAAAAATCACTTGGGTTTTTTTACATTAAAAATCACTTGGTTTCACGCGGAGATGAAAAACTTGGAGCAGAGTGGTTACTGGTTAGTGGGGGCATCGTAATTCGTTAGTTGATTCGGTAACGCAAGGTATGGAAGACAATGAATAAAAGGCAGTGAGGGAGAACACGGTGGAGTTGATGAAGACAGATGCCTGCGGATGAAGAGGGAGAGGAAGGTGACATGGTTGGAAGTTCGAAGGTTCCCAGAATATCCTTGTTCACCATAGAGTTGTAAAGTGTATAGGTTGGTAAAATTTGTTTTATAGATGATAGCAAACGAGGCGATCTGATTCTTATAGTAAATTGGTGTTTAAACATTCAATTTTGTAATTACGATGGTTCAAAAATGGGTTAATTCGATCCATGCCATTGCAAATGTAGATATTAAAAAAATGTCATTACAATTCGTCTATTTATAGCCATGCTACTAGAATTTTACGAAAGTAAAACCATGCCACTGCCGTCACATTTTCCATCCACCCCCTTCATTTTCCATTTTCTTCTTGTTTTTCCCATCTTCTTCCCTATGTAGCGTCGCTGACGATGGTTTTCGGCAAGAAAGTTTCTGATGTGAAAAACTATTTTCGTCATTCTGAGTAGCCTGAGTCAAATCTGGTTGTGAGGCTACACATAGCTGAAAGTAGACAACGAGATATTTCTAACAAGTACTCATTTGCCCCGTTTGCCCTCCGAAATGAGGGGCATTGACTTCATCAAATCAGCGCTGCTAGTGCTGCTTGCGATCTGGTTCCTCTCCCATATTCCTAACAACAAGTGGATCACAACAACTACTTAGTAGCACCCAATTCTGAGAAGAAGTTGTATCATTAGCTAGGAATGACTTTACCTGATAATTAAGTTCACGAGCTCGAGCTCTAGTCATTAGTCCTTGTTGTGCAATAGGCATGGTTGTATCATTGGAAGGGATGTCCTCATCATCCTCCCCTTCTCGCATTTGAGTCGTCCTCGACTCTAACTCATCTTCTTCTCCCAAATATGGCTTTAAATCTGCAATGTTAAATGTGGGGCTAACCCCAAAATCTACAGGCAGCTCAAGCTTGTATGCGTTATCATTAATCTTTTGTAGCACTTTGAAAGGACCATCAGCTCTAGCTAGCAACTTAGATTTTCTCAAATTAGGGAACCTATCTTTTCTCAAATGCAACCAAACCAAATCACCAGGTTCAAAAGTAACATGTTTCTTTCCTTTGCTTCCAGCAAGTTTATACTTAGTATTCATGCGCTCCATGTTCTCCTTAGTAGTCTCATGTAGTTTTAACATCAATTCAGTACGTTGTTTTGCATCAATGTTCACCCTCTCTAAAGTTGGGAGGGGCAAAAGATCAATTGGAGCACGGGGAAGAAGGCCATAAAGAAACTCAAAAGGGCACTTCTTAGTAGTCGAATGTTGTGAATGATTATAAGCAAACTCAATATGAGGCAAACATTCTTCCCACATTTTAATATTGTTTTTCAAAACAGCCCTAAGCATTGTAGATAAAGTTCTATTTACAATCTCAGTTTGTCCATCAGTTTGGGGATGACATGTAGTAGAAAATAAAAGTTTAATCCCTAACTTAGCCCACAAGGTTCTCCAAAAATGACAAAGGAATTTTGTATCGCGATCAGAATCTATGGTGTTTGGCACTCCATGCAAGCGAACAATCGCATGAAAGAACAAATCAGCAACATGTGTAGCATCATCACTCTTATGACAAGGTATGAAATGTGCCATCTTAGAAAATTTATCTACAGCAACAAAGACACTGTCTCTCCTCTTCTTTGTTCTAGGAAACCCTAAAACAAAGTCCATAGAAATATCCTCCCAAGGCACACTAGGAATAGGCAGAGGCATATACAAACCATGAGAGTTAAGGCATGACTTAGCTTTTTGGCATGTTGTGCAGCGAGGAACGAACCTCTCCACGTCTCTCCTCATCGTGGGCCAAAAGAAATGATCAGTAAGGTTATCCTCTGTCTTCTTCACACCAAAGTGCCTCATCAGCCCTCCTCCATGCGCTTCCTGCAATAATAACATACGCACGGAGCTAGCTGGAATGCATAGCTTATTAGCTCTAAACACAAACCCATTGGTGAGAACGAATTTGTTCCAAGTCTTTTCCTCCTTGCAATTTAACAACACATCTTTAAAGTCACCATCGTATGCATATTGCTCTTTTATTGTTTCCAAGCCAAAAATTTTGAAATCAAGTTGGGATAGCATTGTGTAACGTCTAGACAATGCATCAGCAATGACATTTTCTTTTCCCTTCTTGTGTTTGATGACATATGGAAAAGATTCAATAAATTCAACCCATTTAGCATGCCTACGGTTAAGTTTTGCTTGAATTCTATTGTGTTTCAAAGACTCATGATCAGAGTGTATAATAAATTCTTTGGGCCATAAATAATGCTGCCATGTTTCCAATGTTCGCACTAGAGCAAACAATTCCTTATCATAGGTAGAATAATTCAAACTAGGCCCACTCAATTTCTCACTGAAATATGCTACAGGTTTGCCTTCTTGTAACAACACACCACCCAATCCAATCACACTAGCATCACATTCAAGCTCAAAAGTTTTATTGAAATCAGGAAGTTGGAGTAATGGTGTGTGTATTAACTTATCTTTCAAAGTGTCCAATGCATTCCTTTGTGCTGCAGCCCAAGTGAATGTCACATTCCTCTTGGTAAGCTCATGTAGTGGGGCTGCAATGGTGCTAAAATCCCTCACAAAGCGGCGGTAGAACCTAGCAAGTCCTACAAAGCTTTTCTCTTGTCTGACCGTTGTCGACCAGCTATATATGGCTTTAACCTTGGCTTGATCTACCTCAATTCCCTGCGGAGTCACAACATAGCTAAGAAAAGAAACTCGATCTGTGCAAATTGTGCACTTCTCAAGGTTACCAAATAAACGTGCATCGTGTAGAGCATCAAAAACAGCACGCAAATGATCATGATGATCTTCTGTTGATCTGCTATATATGAGAATATCATCAAAATATACCACGACAAATCTACCGATGAAAGCACGTAAGACTTCATTCATTAATCTCATGAAAGTACTGGGCGCATTAGTGAGACCAAAGGGCATGACTAACCACTCATACAGGCCGAATTTAGTTTTAAAAGTTGTTTTCCATTCATCTCCTAACTTCATGCGAATCTGGTGGTAACCACTATGCAAACCAATTTTAGAAAACACTTGTGAACCACTCAATTCATCAAGCATATCATCTAGCCTAGGGATAGGATGACGATATCTGATTGTGATGTTGTTAATTGCTCTACAATCCAAACACATGTGCCATGAGCCATCTTTCTTAGAAACTAAAAGCACGGGAACAACACAAGGACTAAGAGACTCACGCATATACCCCTTGTCGAGTAATTCTTGTACTTGATGCTAAATCTCCTTTGTTTCCTCTTGGTTGGTCCTGTATGGCACACGGTTTGGCAAAGAGGCCCCAGGAATGAGGTCAATCTGGTGCTCAATCCCTCGAATTGGCGGCAGCCCTAGTGGAACCTTCTTTGGGAAAACATCGGCGTATTCCTGCAAAAGGTTAGTGACCGGAGAAGGCAAAGAAATAGAAGTATCCTCAAGTGAAAATAAAGTTTCTTTGCAAACCAAAGCATAGCAAACAGAAGTATCAGGGTCAACTTCATCCAAATCTGATTTTGTTGCAATGAAACAAGATCCCTTCAGCTTAATCTCATTTTTATTATTTTGAACAGAGTTGGTGGATTTCTTCTTATGCTTCTCAAGTTCATTAGCCACAATATGATGCTCACTCCTAGTATGCTCCTGATTTTTTTGTTTGCTAGCTCTAGCAAGTTCATCCTTTAAAATAACTTCAGGAGACATAGGATGTAACACAAGCTTTTTTCCATTATGCACAAAGGAGTACTGATTGGATTTGCCAAAGTGTAAAGAATCTTTATCAAACTGCCATAGCCTACCTAATAACATAGAACATGCTTGCATAGGCACAGTATCACAGTTGATTGAATCATGATAAGAACCAATGGCAAAATGTACTCTTACCAATCGTGTTACCTTTACCTTGCCGCTGCTATTAAGCCATTGAATATAGTAGGGATGTGGCTGTGGCTGTGTGCTCAATGTAAGTTTCTCCACCATTTTAGCACTAGCCAAATTATTGCAGCTTCCTCCATCTATGATCACGCGGCAAGAGCGTTCCTTGATCACACACTTGGTTTGAAACAAAGTGTGCCGCTAATTTTGTTCAGCCCTTTCCATTTGTGCGCTTAGCACTCGCTGCACCACGAGGCTCTCATTGTGCTCTGCAGCTTCGGCCCCAATATGTTCCTCATCTTGGTGGGGCACGTCACCTTCCCCTGCATTGTTAGTTGCAAGCAAAGCATAGGTTTCTTCATCTAAATCACTAGCGGAGGAGTACCCACCATCAGCTCTCACGATCATTATGCGCGTGCTTGGGAAGTCCTTACGCACATGACCAAAGCCCTTGCAGCATAGGCACTGAATATCTCTTATCCTTGCTAATAATGCCACTGATGATGAGCTCTTGGAAGGTGTACCAGCGACCCCTCTTGTTGGTTCACTCGGGCTTGGTGTAGAGTTTGTTGTGGAGGGACGCAGCTTGTTGCTTGAGGACGATGGTGCTGCTGCTCGAGTTGGTGGTGCAGCAGCGTTGGAAGGTGTCGAAGAGCTAGCACGATATGCAGAAATGTTAGTCCTGAAGCTAGCTCTTCGT